AAGGAGAAAGACTTTGAGAAAGAGAAGGAGAGAGAGAGCGAGAGACAGAGAGAGAGAGAGAGAGAGAGAGAGAGAGAGAGAGGGACAGAGGAGACAGAGAAAAGAAGCGTGCTCAATACTATAGTTCTTATATAGTTTGAACTGGCGACCCGCTGCCTTGACATTACTGGTGCAAGAGCTCTTATGGTTGCACTTCCCTGTACAATGTTGGCGGACAAAAGTCCCAATCTAAATGATGTCCACCCGGTCCTCATTTAAACCTTATTCCCAAGCTTTGTGGGTGGCTGCTGAACTTTCAGCGCGAGCAATGAAACGTACTGCTCCTTCGCGTGGCTCCTTTGGTTGTGCGGTGCTTGCCCATGCAGGGGATCCCTGAGTGGGGGCCAACCCAAACACATCCTGGGTCTAATGGCAAATGTAAGTTTTCCACCCACCAGGTTAGTGTAGCCTCGCTTTGGGGGTTGAACGCAAGAGGTAGTCAAATCATCACAGTTCATCATCCGAAAAAAGACCTGCGTGATGTTTCCCACGCTGGAAGGCAATGCTTGGTGCCGTTAAAAGAGGGAAAGCCCAAAGATGAATGCATAAATATGTACATCAGTCCACCAAAAGTTGCATGAATGAGAAGGGAATAAGCAACAAATAACATACACAAACAGAGCAAGCAACTGCAGAAGCAAGAACCCAAACAAAACAAAACAAACAAAAAGCAAGCAGGCAGGCAGGCACGCACGCACGCAAGCAAGCCCCAGGAAAGCAAGCAAGCAGGAAAACAAGCGAGCAGGCAAGCAGGCAGGCAAGCAAGCCGGCAAGTAAGCAGGCCAGCAGGCGGGCAGGCAAGCAGGCAAGCAAGCAGGAAAGCAGGCAAGCAATTAGGCAAGGAAGCAGGCAAGCAAGAAGTCAAGCAGGCAAGCAAGCAAGTTCGCCGGCAAGCAGGCAAGCAAACATGCAAGCCAGCAGTTGCGCAAGCAGGCAGGCAGGCAGGCAGGCAGGCAAGCAAGCAAGCAAGCAGGCAAGCAGGCAAGGTAAGCAAGCAGGCAGTCAAGCAGGTAAGGCAAGCAAGCAGGCAAGCAGGCAAGAAGCGGGCAAGCAGGCAAACAAGCACGCACGCAAGCAGGCGGGCAAGCCGTTAAGCAGGCAGGCAGGCAAGCAAGCAGGCAAGCAAGCAAGCAAGGACGAGCAAGCAGTCAAGCAGGCAAGCAGGCAGGCAAGCAAGCCGGCAAGTAAGCAGGCGGGCAGGCAAGCAGGCAAGCAAGCAGGAAAGCAGGCAAGCAATTAGGCAAGGAAGCAGGCAAGCAAGAACTCAAGCAGGCAAGCAAGCAAGTTCGCCGGCCAGCAGGCAAGCAAACATGCAAGCCAGCAGTTGCGCAAGCAGGCAGGCAGGCATGCAGGCAGGCAAGCAAGCAAGCAAGCAGGCAAGCAGGCAAGCAGGCAAGGCAAGCAAGCAGGCAGTCAAGCAGGTAAGGCAAGCAAGCAGGCAAGCAGGCAAGAAGCGGGCAAGCAGGCAAACAAGCACGCACGCAAGCAGGCGGGCAAGCAGTTAAGCAGGCAGGCAGGCAAGCAAGCAGGCAAGCAAGCAAGCAAGGACGAGCAAGCAGTCAAGCAGGCAAGCAGGCAGGCAAGCAAGCCGGCAAGTAAGCAGGCCAGCAGGCGGGCAGGCAAGCAGGCAAGCAAGCAGGAAAGCAGGCAAGCAGGCAAGCAAACATGCAAGCCAGCAGTTGCGCAAGCAGGCAGGCAGGCAGGCAGGCAGGCAGGCAGGCAAGCAAGCAAGCAAGCAAGCAGGCAAGCAGGCAAGGCAAGCAAGCAGGCAGTCAAGCAGGCAAGGCGAGCAAGCAGGCAAGCAAGCAGGAAAGCAGGCAAGCAATTAGGCAAGGAAGCAGGCAAGCAAGAACTCAAGCAGGCAAGCAAGCAAGTTCGCCGGCAAGCAGGCAAGCAAACATGCAAGCCAGCAGTTGCGCAAGCAGGCAGGCAGGCAGGCAGGCAAGCAAGCAGGCAAGCAGGCAAGCAGGCAAGGCAAGCAAGCAGGCAGTCAAGCAGGCAAGGCAAGCAAGCAGGCAAGCAGGCAAGCAGGCAAGAAGCGGGCAAGCAGGCAAACAAGCACGCACGCAAGCAGGCGGGCAAGCAGTTAAGCAGGCAGGCAGGCAAGCAAGCAGGCAAGCAAGCAAGCAGGAAAAGAAGCGAGCAGGCAAGCAGGCAGGCAAGCAAGCCGGCAAGTAAGCAGGCCAGCAGGCGGGCAGGCAAGCAGGCAAGCAAGCAGGAAAGCAGGCAAGCAATTAGGCAAGGAAGCAGGCAAGCAAGAACTCAAGCAGGCAAGCAAGCAAGTTCGCCGGCAAGCAGGCAAGCAAACATGCAAGCCAGCAGTTGCGCAAGCAGGCAGGCAGGCAGGCAGGCAGGCAGGGCAAGCAAGCAAGCAAGCAAGCAGGCAAGCAGGCAAGGCAAGCAAGCAGGCAGTCAAGCAGGCAAGGCAAGCAAGCAGGCAAGCAGGCAAGAAGCGGGCAAGCAGGCAAACAAGCACGCACGCAAGTAGGCGGGCAAGCAGTTAAGCAGGCAGGCAGGCAAGCAAGCAGGCAAGCAAGCAAGCAAGCAAGGACGAGCAAGCAGTCAAGCAGGCAAGCAGGCAGGCAAGCAAGCCGGCGAGTAAGCAGGCCAGCAGGCGGGCAGGCAAGCAGGCAAGCAAGCAGGAAAGCAGGCAAGCAATTAGGCAAGGAAGCAGACAAGCAAGAACTCAAGCAGGCAAGCAAGCAAGTTCGCCGGCAAGCAGGCAAGCAAACATGCAAGCCAGCAGTTGCGCAAGCAGGCAGGCAGGCAGGCAGGCAGGCAGGGCAAGCAAGCAAGCAAGCAGGCAAGCAGGCAAGGCAAGCAAGCAGGCATTCAAGCAGGCAAGGCAAGCAAGCAGGCAAGCAGGCAAGCAGGCAAGCAGGCAAGAAGCGGGCAAGCAGGCAAACAAGCACGCACGCAAGTAGGCGGGCAAGCAGTTAAGCAGGCAGGCAGGCAAGCAAGCAGGCAAGCACGCAAGCAAGGACGAGCAAGCAGTCAAGCAGGCAAGCAGGCAGGCAAGCAAGCCGGCAAGTAAGCAGGCCAGCAGGCGGGCAGGCAAGCAGGCAAGCAAGCAGGAAAGCAGGCAAGCAATTAGGCAAGGAAGCAGGCAAGCAAGAACTCAAGCAGGCAAGCAAGCAAGTTCGCCGGCAAGCAGGCAAGCAAACATGCAAGCCAGCAGTTGCGCAAGCAGACAGGCAGGCAGGCAGGCAGGGCAAGCAAGCAAGCAAGCAGGCAAGCAGGCAAGGCAAGCAAGCAGGCAGTCAAGCAGGCAAGGCAAGCAAGCAGGCAAGCAGGCAAGCAGGCAAGAAGCGGGCAAGCAGGCAAGCAAGCACGCACGCAAGTAGGCGGGCAAGCAGTTAAGCAGGCAGGCAGTCAAGCAAGCAGGCAAGCAAGCAAGCAAGGACGAGCAAGCAGTCAAGCAGGCAGCGGCAGGCATGCAAGCAAGGAAACAAGCGCTGCCTTGCCTTGTGGCCAGGAGCATTTCTTGAAGCTGTGGGTGCCCTTTCTGGCAGAGGAGCCATTGTGCCGATCAATCTGCTCCTTGGGGCTCGGGGCACGTGTGGGGCAGGTGGCAGGGCAAGCTTGGCACTTGGCACTTACCGAAATTTGAGGTTGCTACTCTGAAACTCGTTGTCACCAAGGTGGCAATCAACTTTGGTGTCGTACAAGGTACGGTGCATCCAAGAGTAAGTTGGTGGTTTCTGCGTCACTGATGTCCTGGGCCTACGCACGACTCATGTCGACCAGGGATGAGCAACCCAGTTGTTCGCTTGTCGGTGAGTCTCTAAGTTGGACCCCCAAAAGAGTTCCCTTTTACTAGGATCACTGGGGAACTGGGACAACCTTCTCAAGTAAGCGCCCTGCATGCTTGCAGGACCGGTGGGCGGTGGTTCAAAGCACTGCGGCGATGGACAAGTGGACGGACTCCCTGGGAGGAGCGGGGATCCACAATCGCGTATTCCATAGGCTTGCTTGATTAGCAGAAAACGACATAAGGTGGCCTGACACAAATAGGTCCCCCTGAGCCCTCATTTGTTTTGTACCTTTTAAAGGGGGTCCTGAAACCACATTGGGTTTTAAGGTCGGTTTCACTCATGGGGATGCCAAGTCTGGTATCCCAGACTTATCTTCTGCAACCCTGTGGGTGTCTGCTTTCGTTTGCCCTTTCAGAATCGTCCAAAAGGGGTCCGCATTTTTGAGGAAACTCCATGTGGACACGTCCCGCCTCGTAGTTTCATCCCTGCGCCCGAGGACGCTGGGGGGCGCCTTACGAGGACACCTTCTTCTTCCGGGTCCTTGGGCCTTTGTCAGCGGGGGGCTCTCAAGGTCGGACAAGATTTTGCTTAGGGTGAAGGTAGATGGCTGCATCTTCTTTGTTTCAGCAAAAGGGATGAGCAGACCTTCCCCCCCCCTCCACAAGGGAAACTAGAAGGAGTGTTATCAAACAAATCTGCTACAAGCCTGGTTCGACCATGGGAACCTCTTCCTTGACATGGCCACAATCAGAACTCCCAAGGCCATCTGCGGGGTCTACCCATCCCTGCCAGGGGTGTTTTGGCCATGGCACATGTCAATGTGGTGAATGGGAAGCAAAGACACCAACCAGTTGTGTGAGGAATCACAGATGTTTGGGTATAACACATGGTGGGTATATCAATATGGAATCACATATGTTTGTTGGTTCCATTTTTTGGAATTCACGCATTTTGGTGGGAGGTTGGCAACTATGGGGTTCTTGGCACAAATGCATGTAGCCAATTGTGTGGGGAGCGAAGATAGCCAACGTTACAGACCGGCGATTCCGAAGCCTGGCAAGTAAACTAATTGAAATGTGTCTCTTGCCAACTTAGTATTGATAAACCCCTAGTTTATTCATAGGGGTGTGTCCAATTGTTTTTTTTGTGTTTTCCTGCAATTATCAAGGCGTTGTATTGGTCCAACATTGGGGGAATTTCAGGGACACCTGCCCCAATTTTGTGGCGAGACTTCAACCAGAGGCGGAAGCAGCCAGTGGCCTTGGAGTTCCAAGCCTTGGAGTTCCAAGCCTCCAAGCCGGGTCCCTCGAACCAACGCAAACCAAAGCAGGGAGATTTGTTCGAAGCAAACACGCATTCCTTCTTTTTTGGAATGATTGAATGGCCTGTTTGGTTTCAGGCCCCGTTTGCATACATATAGAAATATACATATATATATATATATATATAAGAAATGCGTTGAGTCTATGGGTTGAGAGCAACGCCATTGCGTCTCTACTTGAGCCAGTTCCTGACAGCGATTTCCACTGAACTAAGATGGCGTTTCACAAGGGAACTATGCCGAATCTGGCATGATTCACCGACCCATACGGTATTATGTGCAAATTCATGTCAAAGCATTTGCTCGAGGTCCCAGCCGAAAAGACCCTCATGTTTTCCCGTGGCAACAGAGAAAGCTTTGCGAGGCGAATATCATCGTCCCGGGAGCTCTGCAAATGGATGCCCTTGGGCAAGCACAGGTCGTGGGTGAAACCTGGCGCTTGAAGAACCAAAAGGTGTTTGAAGAGGTATCTAGGTCCCCCAGTAGTGCCCTTTCTCACCCCTTTTTCGGGGGAGGGTTCCCCTACTAAAATAGACTACAGAAAAAGGGACCCTTATTCTAACCTCTCTACTGGAGGACCTAGGTATAGAGGCATGTTGAAAGTCGCTTAAACCCCAACCCTCGAATGAAGCCTTGGCACTCGATTTTTTTTACCCCAATAATCAAAAGCTCGGGTCAGAACTCAACGAATCAAACACCAAAACCCTTTTTCAGGCCCTTTTAAAGGGCTCCAGTCCAACAGATTTTGCTAAAAACCCCACTTGCCTCTCATGAGCATTCCCTGTTTTAGTGAGTTCCCCCAGCTGAGTGCTTTGCGTGCCCATGAATCTATGCGTTGATTCGGGGCCAACCCATATCCCTGGCCACCCTTTGACGCCAGCAGTGTGGTGTCTTCTCTGCTGTTTCGGCTCAGTGAGGGCGGCGAGCCTTTCTTTGCCTGAGTCAACTGCTGAGGGTTGGTTTCAACACCATCCCCTGACTGGGAGTTGGGCTGCTGGTCCGGCCCCCTGACTGGGAGTTGGGCTGCTTGTCCTAGCAGTTTAGGGGCCCTTGACTGGCCGAAAAGGTCCCTTGATCCGGGTATCGGGGCGTCAGGGCTCCTAGGCAACTTCATTTGCGACTCATGACGCGTTTTGATTGGCGACCACCACATGAAGCTTACTGGGGAATCATTTTGTTCCAGGTGTGAGGTGTGACGTGGCCTCAGGTGCAAACCCCAGACCTTCCACTAGTATCTGAAAGGAAAATCCTTCCCCCTTTCGCGGCCCTCGGCATAGCCACTGGGAGCTCCCAAGGGGCCAAACATGTCGTTTCGCTTGTCAAGCACATCATTTTTGCAGTGCGCACCGTAAGCTGCCGCTTCATACGGACTTAAATTTCATCGGGATTTTCGGAGAGTGGCGATGTCCGGCTCTTTTTTTTCCATCTCGCAACGCCAAAAAGGGTACTCTCAAAAAGTCACACCCAGGCGCTGTTGGGCAACAAACCGGAAAACCCAAAGGAATATCAACAAGCAAACACCAAGCTTTTTTCAGCCTCAAGGTGTTCGTTTGGTTCTCAGGTTGTTTAGAGTGACTTTTTCGGATTTTTTAAGGTCCATTGGTGCCCTTCTTGGCTAGTTTGGTTGAACATCGACGCAAGGATTCACTGGTTAAGTTTGGTTAACATCCGAGCTGGCAATCCGAAACTCAGTGGCCCAAAGCCGACCAAGTCTTAGTCAATGATTAGTGAATGTCCTTTGGGCATGCGCCAGAAAACTCAATGACCCTCGAGTTCGTTCAAAGCGATAAACTGCCCTTTTACATGCGCATGGAGACCTCCGGCCTGGACGTGCCCTTCTCTCCCCTTTTTTTGGGGAAGGGTTCCCCTACAGAGAAAAAAGTTGGTACCAACTTATTCTATCCTCTCAAATCTGGAGGACCTAGTAAAAGACAAGTGCCCATTTTGCAGTCGCCAACCATGGGGTGCCCTCAGTCTAGTCTGGAGGTCTGGGTCCTACTCTCCCTTCCGCTAACATAGCCCCCCTGACCGCCGAACTGTTTTTGCGCACTTCCTTTGCTACCCCCCCCCCTTTGCTGGGCGCCGAATTTTTTTGGCGAGACCGGGGACCTCTCGTTGGCTCGAGGTGCCGAACGTGAGCCGTCTGCCGCGAGTTGGCCACCGCCTGAAGATCGTGCTGCCGATCCCCACCACGCAGGTGCAGGTGCACGAGCACTTCAACGACCTCACGCCACTCGGTTTGGAGCGGTTTGGCGGTTGAGGGGACCGCGACCGCCAGGGTTCCATTTTTTCACCACTTGCAAAAAAACGGGGGAAGTAGACTTACAAAGCCATATAAAAACTCTAATAAATAGACTGAAAAACCGATATAAAGCCATATGGGTCACGTGCCGCAATTAGACTCCCCTCCAGCCTCCGCACAGGTACCCCGGCGATCCCGCGCTTCAACCCCCTATCCGTCCCGCGCGTCACGCGCACTCCCCCGCTGCTACCTGACTTTCCCGCGCGTCAAGTACCGCCCAACCCGATCCCTCGCGTGAGGTACTTTTTCCCCAGCCCGTGCGGAAACTAACCAACTAATGAACTAACTAACTAACTAAGTAACTAACTAACCAAATAAATAACTAACCGCCTAACCCCCCCCCCCCGCATCCAGCCTCCGGATGCAACCTGCCAATACAACCTGCTAATACAACCTGCCAATACAACCTGCCAATACAACCTGCCAATACTACCTGCCAATTTGCGAGACAACCTCCAGACCTCCAGATCGCCACTTGGCTTGGTCCTTGGTTTGCAGAGGGGTTCCGCTGCCCCTTTCTTCTCGAATCCACTGGAGGGAACACTTATTTACACGCTGACGCGACACAGCCGGCCACCGGGCACCTTGCCCTGCTCGTTCTGTCACTTCCCTTTCCTGTAAGTCCGATTAGTAGATGTTAAGATTTTCAGATTCTAAAAACTTTGAGATTCTAAGGGTCTCAGATTTGAAGACTGTCGGAATTTAAGGTTTCAATGGTTTAAGAATGAAGGTTTTAAGATTCAAAGATTTAAAGTTTTTGAAGGTTATAACAGCCAGGCCATTGCCCAGCCATTTTCCATCTATTATCAGATTTCGAAGGCTTTAAGATTTTATTTATCGGAGATTTTCAGATTTGGCGACTTTCGGAATTTAAGATTTTAAGATCTCAAGATTTCAAGGCTTCAAAGTTTCAAGATTAAGAGTTTAAGGAATTTAAAATATAGCCCGGATTGAAGGAACTTTATTATATTTTACTTGTTTATGAAGTTAAGATTTTCAGATTGCAATAGTTCGAGATTTAAAGAATTTAAGTTTTGAAAGCTTTTCAGATTCTGAGATTTTAAGACTTTGAGAATTTAGGAAGTTCATATCTTTAGATTTTAACATCTGAAGATTCAAAGACATGAGGGTTTGAAGAAGTCAAGATTCGAAGACTTTAGGATGTTTATATTTTCAGATTGTAAGATTCGATCTTCTAAGGTTGTAAGTTTAAGATCTTGAGGTTTCAAGATTTCCAAATTTCAAGAGTAAGAGTTTAAGACTGTAGGAATTTCATATTTTAAGAGTTTAAGATCGCAAGATTCCAAGACATAAGGGTTTTAAGATTTCAAGATTCGAATAGATCTCGAGATTCTAAGATTGATTGTTAGATTTTAATTTAAGATTTTAAGAATCTAAGACTTTAGGATTTTGAGATTTCAATCCAGGCCATTTTCCATCCATTTTGCATCCACTTTAAGATTTTAAGATTTTCAGGTTGCACGTTTTCGGCAAAGTTGGCCCGACTTAGGGGACAACATCCCCAGCATCCCCCGAGACTTTAGGATGTTTTTATATTTTCAGATTTTAAGCTTTAGGATTTTGAGATTTCAATCCAGGCCATTTTCCATCCATTTTCCATCCACTTTAAGATTTTAAGATTTTCAGGTTGCACGTTTTCGGCAAACAACATCCCCAGCATCCCCCGCATCACCGGCATCATCCGCATCAATGTCCGCCAAGGATGCGGATGATGCAGGTGATGCCGGGGATGTTGTCCACTATGGGCACCCCCCAAAAAACACTCGTTTTTTGACTCTGCGGGGAGATGCTCAAAAAGCCGCCAAAAATCGCCTGAACAAATCCGCAAATCCTTCGCCACTTATAAGGGTGGGCCCAGCTTGGCGCAGCGCAAAAGTTCGGCACATGGTCGGCGGTGGGTCGGCGGCATGGGGCGGACGGCCTTGTACCTGAAGGTAGGCCCTGCGGGCCTAGGCCTTCGGCGATGTTACGGACCACGGGGTAGGGGCCCCCGGTGGCCGGATTTACACGCTGACGCGACACAGCCGGCCACCGGGCACCTTGCCCTGCCCGTTCCGTCACTTCCCTTTCCTGTAAGTCCGATGAGTAGATGTTAAGATTTCAAAATTCTAAAAACTTTGAGATTCTAAGGGTCTCAGATTTGAAGACTTTCGGAATTTAAGGTTTCAATGGTTGAAGAATTAAGGTTTTAAGATTCGAAGATTTAAGGCTTTTGAAGGTTATAACAGCCAGGCCATTGCCCAGCCATTTACCATCCATTATCAGATTTCGAAGGCTTTAAGATTTTATTTTTTGTGAGATTTTCAGATTCGGCAACTTTCGGAATTTAAGATTTTAAGATCTTAAGATGTCAAGACTTCAAAATTTGAAGATTAAGAGTTTAAGGAATTTAGAATAATATAGCCCGTATTGAAGGAATTTTATTATATTTTACTTGTTTATGAATTTAAGATTTTCAGACTGCAATAGTTCGAGATTTAAAGAATTTAAGTTTTTGAAGCTTTTAAGATTCTGAGATTTTAGGATTTTGAGAATTTAGGAATTTCATTTTTTATGATTTTAACATCTGAAGATTCAAAGACATGAGGGTTTCTGTCACGTCCCTTTCCCGTAAGTCCGATGAGTAGATGTTCAGATGTTGAAATTCTAAAAACTTTGAGATTCTAAGGGTCTCAGATTTGAAGACTTTCGGAATTTCAGGTTTCAATGGTTTAAGAATTAAGGTTCTAAGATTTCATATTTTAAGAGTTTAAGATCTCAAGATTCTAAGACATAAGGTTTTTAAGATTTCAAGATTCGAAGACTTTAGGAAGTTTATATATTTTCAGATTTTAAGATTCTAAGTTCTAAGATTTTAAGATCTTGAGATTCTAAGATTGAGTGTTAGATTTTAATTAATTTAAGATTTTAAGATTTCAATCCAGGCCATTTTCCATCCATTTCCATCCACTTTAGATTTTAAGATTTTCAGGTTGCACAGCATCCCCAGCATCCCCCGCATCGCCAGCATGCATAACATCATCCGCATCATCCGGGATGATGCTGGCAATGCTGGGGGTGTTGTCCAGTATTAGGCACCCCCTAAAAATGCTCGTTTTTAAGCGCTGCGGGGAGATGCTACAAAAATCGCCGAAACCAAGGCCCGATCACGTCCGGTGGCCGGATTTAAGGGCTGCCGCCCAGTGCCGCCGACCCCTTCAGTTGGACTGCATCACCAACAGTCATGATGATAATGATGACTACGCACCCTCTGCATCTCCAATCGGCTCTAACGGGACTTTTGAATCGTATATGAAAAAGATAAGGATCCTCATCTAGCCGTGGCCCATCATCATCATCATCACAGTTATCATCATCGATGATAACCATCATTATGCATCCTCTGCATCACCAACAGTCATGATGATAATGATGACTACGCACCCTCTGCATCTCCAATCGGCTCTATTTTTTGAATCGTATATGAAAAAGATAAGGATCCTCATCATAGCCGTGGCCCATCATCGTCATCATCACGGTTATCATCATCGATGATAACCATCATTATGCATCCTTTGCATCACCAACAGTCATGATGATAATGATGACTACGCACCCTCTGCATCTCCAATCGGCTCTAACGGGACTTTTGAATCGTATATGAAAAAGATAAGGATCCTCATCATAGCCGTGATCATCGTCATCATCACGGTTATCATCATCGATGATAACCATCATAATCCTCTGCATCACCAACAGTCATGATGATAATGATGACTACGCACCCTCTGCATCTCCAATCGGCTCTAACGGGACTTTTGAATCGTATATGAAAAAGATAAGGATCCTCATCATAGCCCCATCATCGTCATCATCAGATGATAACATCATTATGCATTCCTTGCATCACCAACAGTCATGATGATAATGATGACTACGCACCCTCTGCTCTAACGGGGGACTTTTGAATCGTATACGAAAAAGATAAGGATCCTCATCATAGACGTCATCTATCGTCATCATCACGGTTATCATCATCGATGATAACCATCATTATGCATCCTCTGCATCACCAACAGTCATGATGATAATGATGACTACGCACCCTCTGCATCTCCAATCGGCTCTAACGGGACTTTTGAATCGTACATGAAAAAGATAAGGATCCTCATCATAGCCGTGGCCCATCATCGTCATCATCACGGTTATCATCATCGATGATAACCATCATTATGCATCCTCTGCATCACCAACAGTCATGATGATAATGATCGACGCACCCTCTGCATCTCCAAACAGCTCTAATGGGACTTGTGAATCGTACATGAAAAAGACAAGGATCCTCATCATAGCCCATCATCGGTCATCATTACGGTTTATCATCATCGATGATACCATCATCGTGCATCTCTGCATCACCAACAGTCGATGATGATAATGGATTGAACTACGCCACCCTCTGCATCTCCAATCGGATCTAACGGGACTTTTGAATCGTATATGAAAAAGATAAGGATCCTCATCATAGCCGTGGCCCATCATCGTCATCATCACGGTTATCATCATCGATGATAACCATCATAATCCTCTGCATCACCAACAGTCATGATGATAATGATGACTACTCACCCTCTGCATCTCCAATCGGCTCTAACGGGACTTTTGAATCGTATATGAAAAAGATAAGGATCCTCATCATAGCCGTGGCCCATCATCGTCATCATCTCGGTTATCATCATCGATGATAACCATCATTATGCATCCTCTGCATCACCAACAGTCATGATGATAATGATGACTACGCACCCTCTGCATCTCCAATCGGCTCTAACGGGACTTTTGAATCGTATATGAAAAAGATAAGGAGCCTCATCATAGCCGTGGCCCATCATCGTCATCATCGCGGTTATCATCATCGATGATAACCATCATTATGCATCCTCTGCATCACCAACAGTCATGATGATAATGATGACTACGCACCCTCTGCATCTCCAATCGGCTCTAACGGGACTTTTGAATCGTATATGAAAAAGATAAGGATCCTCATCATGGCCCATCATCATCAATATCACAGTTATCATTCATCGATGATAACCATCATTATGCATCCTCTGCATCACAACAGTCTTGATGATTATTGATGACTACGCACCCTCTGCATCTCCCAATCTCTTCTAACGGGACTGTTTGCATCGTTTATGAAAAAGATAAGGATCCTCGCATCATTAGCCGTGGCCCATCAATCGTATCATACGGTTATCATCATCGTGATAAACCCCATCATTATGCTATTCCTCTGCATCACCTACATTCATGATGATAAATTGATGGACTAGCACCCTCTGCATCTCAATCGGCTCTAACGGGCGGGGGACTTTTGGAATCGTATTTGAAAAAAGTAAGGATTCCTTCGCATAGCCGTCATCATCGTCTATCATCATCACGGTTATCATCATCGATGATAACCATCATAATCCTCTGCATCACCAACAGTCATGATGATAATGATGACTACGCACCCTCTGCATCTCCAATCGGCTCTAACGGGACTTTTGAATCGTATATGAAAAAGATAAGGATCCTCATCATAGCCCCATCATCGTCATCATCAGATGATAACCATCATTATGCATCCTCTGCATCACCAACAGTCATGATGATAATGATGACTACGCACCCTCTGCTCTAACGGGACTTTTGAATCGTATATGAAAAGATAAGGATCCTCATCATAGACGTCATCATCGTCATCATCACGGTTATCATCATCGATGATAACCATCATTATGCATCCTCTGCATCACCAACAGTCATGATGATAATGATGACTACGCACCCTCTGCATCTCCAATCGGCTCTAACGGGACTTTTGAATCGTATATGAAAAAGATAAGGATCCTCATCATAGCCGTGGCCCATCATCGTCATCATCACGGTTATCATCATCGATGATAACCATCATTATGCATCCTCTGCATCACCAACAGTCATGATGATAATGATGACTACGCACCCTCTGCATCTCCAATCGGCTCTAACGGGACTTTTGAATCGTACATGAAAAAGATAAGGATCCTCATCATAGCCCATCATCGTCATCATTACGGTTATCATCATCGATGATAACCATCATTATGCATCCTCTGCATCACCAACAGTCATGATGATAATGATGACTACGCACCCTCTGCATCTCCAATCGGCTCTAACGGGACTTTTGAATCGTATTTGAAAAAGATAAGGATCCTCATCATAGCCGTGGCCCATCATCGTCATCATCACGGTTATCATCATCGATGATAACCATCATAATCCTCTGCATCACCAACAGTCATGATGATAATGATGACTACGCACCCTCTGCATCTCCAATCGGCTCTAACGGGACTTTTGAATCGTATATGCATCCTCATCATAGCCGTGGCCCATCATCGTCATCATCACGGTTATCATCATCGATGATAACCATCATTATGCATCCTCTGCATCACCAACAGTCATGATGATAATGATGACTACGCACCCTCTGCATCGTCATCATCACTGTTATCATCATCGATGATAACCATCATCGTGCATCCTCTGCATCACCAACAGTCATGATGATAATGATGACTACGCACCCTCTGCATCTACGCACCCTCTGCATCTCAATCTCATCATCGTGCATATGCATCCTCTGCATCACCAACAGTCATGATGATAACGATGACTACGCACCCTCTGCATCTCCAATCTCATCATCATGATAATCATGTCCACGCATCTTTTGCATCACCAATGGGCTCTAACGCCACACTTGAAATGTATACTATACAAAGACATGGCGACAACTACGTATCAGCACCACCAGCAGTTCTCTTGATAATCATGGCCGTCGCCCATCATCGTCATCATCACCGTTATCATCATCGATGACAACCATCATCGTGCATCCTCTGCATCACCAACAGTCATGATAACGATGACTACGCACCCTCTGCATCTCCAATCTCATCATCATGACAATCATGTCCACGCATCTTTGCATCACCAATGGGCTCTAACGCCACACTTGAAATGTATACTATACAAAGACATGGTGACGACTACGTATCAGCATCACCAGCAGTCCTCATGATAATCATGTCCACGCATGATGATGATGATGATGATGATGGTGGTGCTGATGATGATGGATGATGATGATGATGATGATGATGATGATAACTATCATCGTAGCATCCTCTGCATCTCCAATGGTGATGATAACTATCATCGTGGCAACGCATCCGCAGCACCCTTCCCGTGCGCCTCCCCCTTTCAGGAGCAGGGGTCGGCGGATTATTGTTCACAAGGTGATTTCCTGGCTGGTTAGAGGACCCATTTTCGGGTTTGTGCCTTTTGTGGGCAACCCCTTTCGGTTGGTTTGCTCCAGAGAAATGAACCGGAAAGCCCATCACACCCCTGATCCCCCAATTTTTCTGACCAATCAAGCTTACAGCCTAAGAGACAAATGCCCATTTTGCAGTGGGTTCAGTTTGCACCACAACAATCGGGTGCCCTCTTGAGTCTGGAGGTCTGGGTCCCTACTCTCCCTTCCGCTAACATAGCACCTGTGAAAGGGTACCAAGATCATGTTCCTCTTGTAGGGACCCCCTGTCAGGTGCCATGTTCATGGTCGTTGTTGGGAAACATTTTACATTTTCGCTTATTGTTGTTTAGTGGGAAATCCCCACTGAACGGCAAACAAATAATTTGTTGCTCCCCTTCCAACGTCAACCAAGTGTTAGTGGGAGTGAGGGTGGATTTTCGCATCTTAGGGGTGTGCTGATCGCATGGCTTGGGCGCCTCGCGTCGGGCGCCTTCATCTTCTCGGTGCTCACGATGATGTTCCCCTCCGTGCGGGAGGACCCAAAGCAGCGAAGCCGCGAAGTCTTGTTGGCCCCATATGAATCTGGGTGAATTATAACGCCTCACACGACCTCACCCCAAATTGTGGTTTATGTGGGGAATAGGCCCCCAATCACCTTTTTTCAGGTTGGCAAAATATTAATTCACCCATATGAATCAACCCCAGTTGATTGATAGGGAGGTGCTCCTCCCTGTGTGAAATGTGGGAAATCAGACTACTTTTGGAGGGGAACACACCCCCGTATCAAGAAACTGAGGTTGATTAGCATGGGGTTAATATTATCGCTGGGTCAATATCTATAACTAGGTACGGTATGTTGCAAAATCACTCGGGGGATTCCTAAAAGGTATTCCTTTTGGCTTTTCTTGAAAAGCTGAATCGCGTACTCTCAAACGACACTCATTTGGTAGCATCTTACATCTTGTCCCTTGACTAAACATGAGAATAAGATTTGAATGCTAGGCCAGGGCTGAACGTTCAGCAAGGTCAATGTTTCTCCAATTCCTTAAGTCGGATTTCACCCACATTTACCCAAGATTCTGGCCGAGGCGCCAGAAATCCATAGGACCTTCACTTTCAGAAATCCACTGGAGGCTCGGGGCCCAGGATTTCAGTGGACTGAATGCCCCAACCGCCAGGGCTCTATCGCTTGCTAGGCCTTTGACTTCCCCAAAACTCCCCAAGAAAAGTGTTGGTCGCTTGGATTCCGATGTGAAGGGTTGCTATTTTGCTCGAGCCCGAAGGAAAGCCGAAGCCCACTGGGGGGTCCCCTCATTTCTCAAAAACCGATTCATCTACAACAAAGGAGTTTTGGTTGGTTCCTTTTGACTCAACATCTAAGAACTGGGACTTCCATTCAACCTTGATCAGGCGGGGTGTTTTGACTCAACTGGGACTTCCATTCAACCTTGATCAGGGGGGTGTTTTGACTCAACACCTAAAAACTGGTTCAGGCCTTCCATTCAACCTTGATCAGGGGGGGTTTTTGACTCAACACCCCAAAACTGGTTCAGGACTCCGACTCATTCTTGATCAGTTTTTTTCCCTCCGACTCAACACCAAACACAAACTGGTTCAGGACTCCAACTCATTCTTGATCAGGGGGGTGTTTTGACACAACACTTAAAACTGGTTCAGGACTTCCATTCAACCTTGCTCAGCGGGGGTGTTGTGACTCAGCACCTAAAAAGTGGTTCAGGACTTCCATTGAACCTTGATCAAGGGGAGTGTTGTGACTCAACACCTAAAACTGGTTCAGGACTTCCATTTAACCTTGATCAGGGGGGTGTGACTCAACACCTAAAACTGGTTCAGGACTTCCATTCAACCTTGATCAGGGGGGTGTTTTGACTCAACACCTAAAAACTGGTTCAGGACGTCCATTCAACCTTGATCAAGGGGGGTGTGACTCAACACCTAAAACTGGTTCAGGACTTCCATTTAACCTTGATCAGGGGGGTGGTTTGACTCAACACCTAAAAACTGGTTCAGGACTTCCATTCAACCTTGATCAGGGGGGTGTTTTGACTCAACACCTAAAAACTGGTTCCGGACTTCTATTCAACCTTTTTCAGGGTGGGGTGGTTTGACTCAACACCTAAGAACTGGTTCAGGACTTCCATTCAACCTTGGGTGTTTTGACTCAACACCTAAAATCTGGTTCAGGACTTCCATTCAACCTTGCTCAGGGTGTGTGTGTGTGTGTGTTGACTCAACACCTAAAACCTGGTTGAGGCCTTCTATTCAACCTTGATCAGGGGGGGTTTTGACTCAACACCCCAAAACTGGTTCAGGACTTCCATTCAACCTTGATCAGGGGGGGTGTTTTGACTCAACACCTAAAAACTGGTTCAGGACTTCCATTCAACCTTGATCAGGGGGGGTGTGACTCAACACCTAAAAACTGGTTCAGGACTTCCATTCAACCTTGATCAAGGGGGGTGTGACTCAACACCTAAAACTGGTTCAGGACTTCCATTCAACCTTGCTCAGGGTGTGTGTGTGTGTGTGTGTTGACTCAACACCTAAAAACTGGTTGAGGACTTCCATTTAATCTTGATCGAGGGGGTTGTGACTCAACACCTAAACTGGTTCAGGACTTCCATTCAACCTTGATCAGGGGTGTGTGTTGACTCAACACCTAAAGACTGGTTCAGGACGTCCATTCAACCTTGATCAAGGGGGGTGTGACTCAACACCTAAAACTGGTTCAGGACTTCCATTTAACCTTGATCAGGGGGGTGGTTTGACTCAACACCTAAAATCTGGTTGAGGACTTCCATTCAACCTTGCTCAGGGTGTGTGTGTGTGTGTGTGTGTGTGTTGTGACTCAACACATAAAAACTGGTTCAGGACTTCCATTTAACCTTGATCAGGGGGGGTGTTTTGACTCAACACTTAAAAACTGGTTCAGGACTGCCATTTAACCTTGATCAGGGGGGGTGTTTTGACTCAACACTTAAAAACTGGTTCAGGACTGCCATTCAACCTTGCTCAGCGGGTGTGTTGTGACTCAACACCCCAAAACTGGTTCAGGACTTCCATTCAACCTTGATCAGGGGGGGTGTTTTGACTCAACACCTAAAAACTGGTTCAGGACTTCCATTCAACCTTGATCAGGGGGGGTGTGACTCAACACCTAAAAACTGGTTCAGGACTTCCATTCAACCTTGATCAAGGGGGGTGTGACTCAACACCTAAAACTGGTTCAGGACTTCCATTCAACCTTGCTCAGGGTGTGTGTGTGTGTGTGTGTGTGTGTGTGTGTGTTGACTCAACACCTAAAAACTGGTTCAGGACTTCCATTCAACCTTGATCAGGGGGGTGTTGTGACTCAACACCTAAAACTGGTTCAGGACTTCCATTCAACCTTGATCAGGGGTGTGTTTTGACTCAACACCTAAAAGCTGTTCCATTCAACCTTGCTCAGGGGGGGTGTTGTGACTCGTCCAACCCAAATCTGGTTCATCCCCGAACCCAGGATTTGCATTTGACCCCAAACCCAGAGGGACCGCGCCTTGCCGGCGGAAAACCTGGCTTGCGCAAGGAGAAGTTCCGGCTCTTCCTCCACCTGCCTTCGCTGGGTTTCGGCTGCCCGGAGACCGAACCCTTGCAGCCCTTGCAGCCCTGAGGCCCGGGACCGAGGGACCGACTGGCCGCTGCTTGGGAGGGTTAACCTTTTGGGGTCACTAAAACTAGACCAAAAAGGAGAAACCAAAAGGTCGAAAGGTCGGTGTCCTTTTGCTGTCTCACCTGTGCATGCCATTTTTAGGGCTGCTCATACCAGGAACACCCGTTCCGGATTAGTCCAAACCCCCATTTAAGGGTTTGAATTCAGTTCAACTTTTGGACTTTTCGGCTAACGCCAAGATTCAACAGTTCCGGGCAAGTGAATTGGGCGAATCAACCCTTCCCCTGTGGAAAGCATGTCCCACCCCCTCCCTGCTATTCATATTTCCTTCCACCAGCCAGGAGAAAGCGCAAACACACAAGTGCTTACCCTTCATCTGGAAAGAAACCTTCAATTTATGAGGTCGCAAGCCAAACTCATTCCAACCCCCTTCCGGCTACTGGATTTCCTCTAAAGGCTTTCACGCGGCCTTATAACCGTCTTGTTCAAACCGAAGCCACGACGGTTTTGGGGGGGGGGGTAAAAGGCGAGCCTTTATTTCTTGGTCCTTTGGGCAAGTGAGCATATTCTTAACCAGCCGGGCGACATGCAAGTACATGCCAAGGAGGCTATGTGTTTGGCATTAGCCAATGCGGGGCCAGTAGACATCAAACGCAAGCGGGCTGGTTGATCGAAAACAGGGGCGCGGCTGTTCGAAAGGCGGATGGCCGTTTTCGATTCTTTCTGAGATGTGACCCTCCTGAGATTCTGTTTTGACAGGAACAAATGCTGAGAGAGTTGGAGGATTGACGTCTTTCCCGGCCTTTTCAAGTAGCCCGAAATTTGCCACCGGTCAAAGCACTGGGGATGCTTGGGCAACCTGCGTAGGAGCTTTGTAGCGCTCTGGGGCTCAGGAGCACGTCGCTATGCCGGTAGAAGGGACAAAACAAGAAGAAAAAGAACAACAACACGTAGAAACACACATCAAAACTATAAACCATAACCAACGTACTCAAAAACACCTGGCGGACACATGCACAATCTTAGACACATGTGCCGAAAAAGCGGCAAACACGTACACAAACACAAGAATGACTTGCAGCATGACCATAAACGCAACAGCAACCACAACTGTGCACCCGCCGACAGGCATGCGCACGCATGCCCACCCACACACGCACGGGGCGTGCACCCCCCCCCCCCGGCACAAACACGCACACACATATACAAACCCACCCGCATTCCCGCCCACCCACCCACTCTACCACCCATGCAGCCGTACACACCCACACACACACACACATAATCCAACGTATAGACATCTACAAACACATGACACACATCATGATGCAAACGCCTACCACACACACACACATACCATACACCACAGGCACACAGACACACACAAACAGACACACAGACACACACAGACACAGACACAGACACACAGACACACAGACACACAGACACACAGACACACAGACACACAGACACACAGACACACAGACACACGGACACACACAGACACACAGAGACACACAGAGACACACAGACACACAGAGAGAGACACACACACACACACACACACACACACACACACACACGCAGACACGCAGACACGCAGACGCGCAGACACGCAGACACGCGCACAAAATAACACAGACACACGCACACACACAGAGACACTCACACACACAGACACACACACACACAGGCACACACAGACACACACACACACAGACACACACACACACACAGAGACACACCCACACACAGACACACACACACAGACAGACACACAGACACACACACAGACCCACCCACACGCAGACACAAACACACAGACAGAAGCACACACACAGACACAGACACACACAGACACACACACACACAGACAGACACAAACACACACACACACACACACAGACAGAGACACACACAGACACACACACACACAGACACACCCACACGCAGACACACACACACACACAGACACCACACTGCATGCCACGCAACGCAAAGCGCACAGCACACAGCACACACACACACACATATACGACACACCGCACACCACACACCCTGGGAATTGTGTGTGTGTGTGTGAGAGCGAGAAAGACTGTGCGGGATGTGTGCGTATGAGGTGTGCGCTGTGTTGTGTGTGTGTGTGTGGCGTGTGGTGTGTGTGTGTAAGGCGTGAGGCATGCGGTGTGTGTGTGTAGCAGCAAGCTATCGGATCATATGAATACACCATCTCGCCAACGCGCTTGCACACAACACTTTTGAATACACTGACACACACACACACACACACGCACACACGACTGCCCTCATCAACACAGCAAATGCACCGCAATTGCACCAACAACACAGCTTTTGCGACACACCGCGACTCCAACGCAACACAGCAAGTGACAGCGCATGACCACAAAAACACGATGAAACCCAACGGCGGCAGACCTGATAGCACACCAACATACCAACCCACCAGTACAGCAACGCAGTGACACACCAGCACACCCAACACAACACAACCCCGAACACACCAGCAGCACCACCGAAAGTCACCAGACACGCTGGTCTTTTGGTTTCAAGTGAGCACGACGGGGGTGACCAATGTAACGTACCAACCAGCAGGTAAAAGGTGCACCGGGCGATTACCCAACAGAACCATGAGGAAGACGCAAGAAGGACAAATAAGTGGGGCTGCCTCAAAACAGTGTTGGCTTTTCTTTTCTGTTTTTGAGGAAACAAAAAGCAAGCCACCAGGATAGGGCAGCCAATTTCAGGACGCACACCCCAACCCCGTCTCTCCCCCAAATGTATCGGTGGCCGCTGGTTTTGGACAGGCTTTCCAGAACCTCTCGCAGGTGGCGCACAGAGGCAAAAAGGAGCCTACTGGGGATAGCTTCGAACATTGAAAGATCATCCGGGCCAGTGTTCCATGTCCAGAATGTTGACCTATGGGTGGTTTCCAAATAAGAAGGGATGCCCGTTTGTTTTCCGAAGCCCACATTTGCACGTTCAGCAATGGATATGGGTGTTCTGCAGCTAGGACCTGGTGGTTGGCTTTCTGGCTTTCAGAGCACCGCTGCACCCGGGTCCCAACAAACGCTTTTCGGCTGCTGGTGACCCCGCAGAAGCCATCAATTAGAGAGGAGACATGAGGTTATTCCTAACCAACACAGGCGGTAGTCTCGTGCGATTTCATGGGCTTAGCCTAGATTTCTGAAGCAATGTCTATGACTCTGTGCTACCTTGCTTGCGAATCATGGTCACCTAAAAGGACACCTAGAACCACTGGCTCAAATTACATGGCTTTCTGGGGCGCTCCCAGTCGGGTTTTCCACGGTTGGGAGGCTATAAGGTAAAAAGAGCTCCACGCGACGTGTCCAAGTCTTTCCTATCATGCGTTCGGCGTTCGACGTCCGGGAGCCTACTTGCTTGGAGCGCTTTCAGCTTCCCTGAGTTGATCAGGTACTTCTTGTTGCCTGGATGTGTGGCGAGAAGTGGATATCGGGGGACGAATTCAGGGATTGGCAATGTCCTTGCCAATGAATCCAGATCGCACATGTCTTCCTTTGCAATAGTGCAGGTTTTGTTTTGGAACTCAGGGTTCCTTTCCAAAGCCATGGAGTTGACTGCCATCGCCACCTTGGCTCAAAGCACGATGTGCCACGATCTACTCTTCAGGCCCTTCCGCACGCACAGTACTGAATCTGGTACGTGCGCCGGTCAATGCTGCCTCCGTGCCTTGATCGGAGATCTGGGTTTGACGCTGGCAAGCTTCGGTTTTTGCCTGCCTGGAAATATGTTAGCTGCCTTGGAGTGGGGCGATGCTTGAACGGGGAAGTTTTGGGAATCCATCGGTTTGGGAAGAAATGCAAGTTTCCTTCCTCGGGCAGGTTTTGGGACATATGCTTCTTGGTCACTTTAGATCAAGGTGCTGAATCACATTTGCTTTCAGCACGCGCACACGCACACACACACACTCACACATTCCCCATGGTTGTGTTGTCTTTGGGTAGCTGTGCCATGGTGACATGCTTTTGAAAATTAGTGACGGACTCGGCGCTCTATACTCATTTTTGCAAAGGTCAATATTCAGCATCGTCCATTTTAGTACAGGGTTGACTGCAATTCAGTGCCAGTTGGCAGAGAAGATTGGTGGTGGCTGTCACAGAATTGGATCAAACTTGAGCTGGAGAATTGCTGGGTTCTTCTTGCCTTGCAACATCTTCCAACGATCAAGCTTCTATGTCTGATCTGCGTGTAGCGGGGTGTCTCAACTAAAATCACTTGGAAAAGAGCCCTTTGAACGTGGCAATGGGCCAACTTGCTAACTTGCGACGATCTGGCTGCGGGTCAAAAATGCGTACCGAAAATGGAACCCTGGTAAATGGAACCAAAGACTAAAACCTGCGGTCCCCTGATGGTTCTATTGTGACCCATACCCATCTGTAGGCCTGTGATGGAGAACCCAGTGTGATTCGGGCACTTCAGGCTGTTTGATGCAGGTCCCTTCAGGTGTGTCAGTCCTTCCGATTGCAAATTCTTTTGTCGGTACTAGTCCGGGTCGACTTGAAGAGAAACCAACAGGAACATTGAACATAATTTCAGAAGGGCCCTCATGGGCGGGGGTGAAACACAGGGATTTCGTAGTTTTTGGGTATGTTTGATTGATATTTTCACAAAAACTCGAGAAATCCAAACACACAAACACACAGCAACAAGTTTCAGACCCTCACTCAGCCAGAATGGATACACAGGGTCTGAAGTTTTTTGCTTGTTTGGTTTTCTCGAGTTTTGATTGTTTTTGAGGTTGGGGTCAGCAAGAAGAAACATTTCTCCGCAAGAAGGAGACATCTGCCAGCGTGGCCTGGGCATTTCACCTGCTAACCGCCACCGAAACCTATTCAAATAGTCTAGAAGAAACAGCCAGGGTGGGACAGCCATCTTGTCTTTCCTTACCAGATTCTATCTAGACTAATTCTAGGGGTCCCCATTCTTTGCAATCATTGTTCTTTTCAAAAAGCAGCTGTTTTCCCCGGGTTTCTGGAGGTTCCCTGGAAAGAATGGGGAAGGTACCCTGGATTAATGCTAAAATCAAAATAAACATCCTAGATACTTGGAAAGGAAATCCGTTCTGAATTCTGATTCAAAATGATAACTATAATTGAATCACTCAGAAGAAACAACCAGCTTGTTTTTTCCACTTTTGGTCGTTTTCTTCAATACTGTCTGGTAGTGCACGCTTGCAGCTGACAAGCAATTTTGGGCAACACATCCAAGGTCCACAGCAATAGAAGTGAATTGCCCGCATACTTTTGAATCTCAATCTGCCTAAATGCGCACAATTCTCGTGGGTTTCAAACCCCCCCCCCATGAGGGGACGCTCTCAATTGCCCAGATCATTTCGCACCCAGTGCAGCCTAGGAAATGGGACAGCTTTCCGAATAAGAACGACGCCATGTGCGCGTGGGCACTTTGGGCGATCTTGGCTCTGGTATTTCTCTGCTATGTCGTCGTGAGCACCATGAGCTACGTTGATGGCCTTTACCTACCGGAGGATGAGGAGCAAAGTTGGGCGCATGGGTCCTGGCAGATTGCAACCCATCCATCCAAAGTGGTCCATGCGAAAGAGGATTCGAAAGAAGCACAACAAATCTGTGTTGAGGGTAAGATGTACTCGTGGATTTCATTTGCAGTGCCCCTCATCCCGGGTGGTCCATGTGAAAGAGGAAAATCAAAAACGCAACTGTGCTGAGACTCGTGGATTTCATAGGCAGTGCCCCTTTGTCAGTTGGCGGGGGAGATTGGGGGAGAGCGCACATAGGAAGAACCAGTAGCCCAGGATTGTTCCTGTCCCACGCTAAAAAGACACGCGAGTTCGAGGACGTTTGTTGGCGTCTCTCAAAGGGTCTTCTGGACTTCAACGGATACCCTTCCTCCAACTAACATGGCACTTGTAGGAGGGAATGAAGATAATACATCTTTGACATAGCCATACCTGGAAGATCAATTTACTCAAGGGGCCCTCTGTCAGAAGCCATGCTAGTGGAAGGGAGGGTAGCTGTACCCAAGTACCCGGGACTCTTAACAATTCACTCGGGTGAGAGGGATGTACGGCAGCCGCACGCCGTTCGAAAACTCGAACCCCTTCATGGTTGTTGTTGGGAAACTGTGGTTTAGTGGTTGATTTTCAACCGCTTAACTGCTAAAGTTTAAATGTTTGCTCCCCATTCAACGTCAATCTTTGTGGATACTGAAGGACATGGCCATGAATGCGAAACGGGCCTCGGGACCTATGACATATGAGTGCGTCGTTTTGCTACCCTTTTGCGGCTGTGTCAAAAGGAGCCGAAAGGAAGCCAACCATTTTGCAGGTCCCGTATTTTTTGGGACACATATGCAGGATCAAAGGCTCATCTGGGATTTTGGTATCGGCCGGCATCTCTTAGGCCAGTTCCCCCTTCAAAATCAAGCTCCTCTCCTCCCGGTCGACTCCACCAAAGGTCAAGTCAGCTTTCAAGCCAGACGGCAAAGGACTGAGACAAGTCCATGTCTCAAAATACGGGACTGACTCTATGTTGCACGCCGTCATGTTGCATGATTGGACATCCAGTTTAATCATAGAGTTTCCCTGCATCGACCAAGCAACGGTCAAGTCCTGCTTTCCCCCAAATCAACCAAGAGAAGCCAACAGAGAAATCTGCTCCGCACAGTTGTCCCCTTCAATATCACCTCCTTTTCCCCCTTCGATATCAATCTACAAACGGTCAAGTCCTTTTTCTCCCTGTAGGAAACTCGGTGCAGGGCGCCCAAGTTAAGTCCTTTCGAAGTCCCCTGGTGGCCATTCAGTGGCTGCTTTGAAGGACAGGTGCGAGTTTGGTTTCCTTAGGGGAACCAAAAGAAACCACAGATGGAAGTCTGAGGAAGCAAAGGCCCTCGCCCCAGTCCCAGGATGGAAGGAGGTCTCTCTAGGGGGTGGGGTGGGAGACCGAGTAAAGCACCAGTTGTTGTGGGCGGCTTTCAAGGGAAGCCAAAGGAAACCCAGCAAGCACTGGAAAGACACTTCCATTTCACGCAGGGCAGGGGCCTTTGGACAGAAGTTTCTTCCCACCGAAAAGCAGGTGACACCGTTTTTCAACAATCTTGATGCTTGATTACACATGGGCGTGGGTCAAAAATCAGCAATTATCGCAACTAAAACTCTGGTTTATTGAAACTTGGACTAAAACCTGCGGTCCCTTGGTGGTTTAATTTTGACCCATCCCCACATATTACCATGGGAAGCCTTTTTGTTTGTCGAAAACTGGTCTTTGAATTGCAATATTAAGGATATTTTGAAGCAGCTCTAGTAATTTCTTATAGCCTAGTATTAAAATTGGAGTAGACTGAGGGGCAACATAAAGACATCTTGCTTCCTTCTGATCATGACGTTTGATCTTGAAGTCCCCCCTCTCCCCCCCAACATGGGTGGCAACCGCCCATGGCCAAAGGAACCATGGAACCCAAAAAGGTGGTCCCCCAAAAAGAGATACCTCTACAACCCGTGGTCTTCATCTTCCCTTTTCCTTCCAGCAGAGCTGGCAGGGGGCACTTTTCTCGAGGACGTCTTCTCCGCAGAGCTGCAGCTGCCGCCGGTGTGGCTGCAGCTTTGTGACCTGCTGCCGCTGCAGGCGGTGGGGGTTTTGGGGGGGCCGAAGGCTGAAGGTACTGTTCTAGGGGTTGATTCCCCATGTGTGTCTTTGGGGGCACCCCACCAAATTGGGGTTTTCCTGGTGGTTTCCATGGAAGGCCAAACAAACAAGGGACATGATTTTCCTTGTCCATTCTTTTCAACCATCGTTCTTTTCCAAACCGATCGTTGTTTCCCTGGGTTTTAAGATGGTTTCATGAAAAGACTCGGATCCCTGGAAAGAATGGGGAAGGTACCCCTAGAAACGTGCGCGGCTTTTGCCACCAAAAAGGAGGGCCGGGGCGCGCTTTGACAATTTTGGGGATGAGAGACGTGCTCCACGAAGCTGAAGCCCTTTGTCTACCAGGGTCACTGGTCCACATGGAGATACATGGAGCAAAAGCGCGGAACGAACGAGGTTTCTGTCTTCCGCCGGGTTCAGTGGCTGACTCTTCCGGATTTGTGATGCAACTGGCTCATGGTGGACATCGAGGAAAATGCGAACACAAGGATGTCGTCGCATACCGCCATGACTCAGCAGAGTCAGCTACTTGCCCGAGATGCGCCGCACGGACTTGTGCCTTTAATTTGGCAGTCCAAGCAAGGACTCTTTCGAATAAATTTGTATCCTGCTGAAGTCCTCCCCAGAAAAAATTGGCTCTGACGCGCGACTAGTTGAAACCATGGTTATTATACTTCCATCGCCTCCCTGTGTTTTTTCAAAGTCAATCCTGAATCCCTATCCTAGGTCCTCCAGTAGTACCCTTCTCTCCCCTTTTGTTTTTTGGGAGGCTTCCCCTACTCAAAGATACAACAGAAAAAAAAGTGTGTACCCTTATTCTAACCTCTCAAATCTGGAGGACCTAGCTATCAATACGGTGGTATCCCTTGTACTCGGGACCCGCCCGCTTCGAACGGAACTCACAGCCTTGTGGAGTGTCGTTTTTTAGGCGGCGCTCAACTACTCGCTGCTGGATCATTTGATCGTTCAAGGCCGGAGGGTTGCTGGCCATCGACGTGGATTTGAAAGGCAAAAAGCGATGATTCCCCACGAAACGTGGGGACACCCCCTACTAACAAACAGACAAACAGAGGTGGATGAATATGGGGTCAACATTCATTCAAAGGGAGACCGCCCATTGTGTGACGCTGTTGAAACTTTTGCCACCCGCATGGAAGGATTGTAGGGAGGAGGATTCCCATCCGTTCCCCTTAGCGATAAAAGCCCCCCCTCCCCTCTCTTCCCCAAATAGAAAAGCTGGGTTCCTCTTCGGTGCCTTAGAAAAGCTGGGTTCCTCTTCGGTGCCTATCCTTTCCCTGATAGGCTTCCCCTTTTCCGGTGCTCCCCCCTTCAGCCACTTGGGATCAGCACGAGACATCGCTTGTTGAGTCGTGGTTTAGACTTTGCCAAATCTAAAGTTCATATTGGTCATTTTGGATTTTGAGAATCGCTACTATTCTTGGAGAGTCCTTTCCTCTAAAAGAATCGGGTTACTTCTTGAAAGTGCTTGCTCAAATGAAACTGGCCGCTAGGTTGGACAATGGTATCAAAGGCTGTGGAGTAGGTGAGCCCATGGCCATTTCGCTGAAACCCAACAAGGTCTAACGAACATTGACAGGCCAGCGAAGGGGTTCAGGACTTCGTATTGGTCCATTCAGACAGCCTTTGGGGACTCAAGGCGCAGTTTTCCAGATGCCTTCAGACATCCAGATCCGACCTCCCCGGCCTTGCCCACGGTTTTCAGCGGCCCCACCTTCGGGATGGTGACGGCGGCCCCACGCGAACATCCCCAGATCACGGCCTCCCAGCATCCTCAGCATCCCCTTGCGAGCAAGCGCGCCGGGCTCCCGCGAAAGCAGCGTGGTCACCATTATGTGGAGAACAAAAAACGCAAACTATGCTTTTAGCAGCTTCGCATGTTTGTTTTTGGGGGATGCCGGGGGACGCCGGGGCTGCGGTCTTCGGCTTTGATTTCCAGTTGAGAGCTGAGCAACCCCCTGCGGATAGAACCACAATGGTGATCGTTTGTTCCTCACCGTCGGTGAGTTGAGCCTTTGGCTGTATGGCTCATGCTCAAGGTAGAAGGGCTGGCGAACCCTGCTGTTGAGTCTTGGAAACTGAGAACCACTCGACTGTCCATTAGGAGGGACATGGGGGGAGCAAAATGCTCCACATCAGAGGATCCCCAAGTTTCCCATGTGCTCGTGGAGGGACTGACCGGAATTGTGGCTCTTTTTGGCGCTGCCTCAGCTGGGTCTGGTTGAAATTGGTCCCACCAGCGAAGCACAGAGGGGTGTCGGCACCCCCTTCCATTAGGACTTTGCAGCCTGGGGGTGCAAACGTGTGAAGGAACGCAATGTACACCTCAGTGCGCAGGTTGCATATACTTCCCTTGGCATACATTCCATGTCATGATGTTATGCGATTTGTCTTTCGGGCTTGTCTTCAGGTAGGACCTGCGGTGGGGGGTCCTTGTGTCACACGCCAACGCGAGGCCGATTGAACTATGTGATGCCCAACGGCACGGAGATCCTAAGCCACGCAGCTGTGCCTGAAACGTCGCCGCCAAAAAAATCGACCCCGGGCGCCGGGCAAGTGGACCCGACCCAAAAACGTGGTGCCGGTGCGAGTGACAAATAGCCCATGTTCAATTTCCAGGCGAAGGATTGGGTTTTCTCCGTTCTTTCCACACGGTTTAATCCGTGCTCACCCAGTAACTTAAGCACTGAGATGAATATAGGTTACAAACCAACATGTACTGAAGATCAAACAGCTCGCTTTCTTGATTCTGCAACTCCTTGTGGGACAAGTCTAATTCCAATCGTTGTTTGGTCAGTCAGTCAGAGGGCATTCGGTTGACCTTTGCCCGCATGGACTGTCCTTGAAGAGAACCGATATTACAAGAATAGATGTGTATGCACACATTATACATCACCGAATCACGATGGTAGGCCATCGTACTGTGTATGGTTCGGATCGTGCACAGATTGAGTTATTTATCCCAATATTCATGGAGTTTCATCCATCGCAAGTGGTGCGAAGTGGAATTAGTTGGTGCACAGCATGTTTTCATTGCTTTTATGTGTTCGAAGTATTTGCTCACCTCGGCCGGTTGAAGGTCACAAGTCGTAAGGCACGGTGAACATGGACCACCAGATAGCGCACAAAGGGGGTCTTTGCACCGGGTTTTCCTTACTTCAGGCTCCCAAGACCTTGTTTCAGGCCTTTGGGGATCAGAGGGTCGAAGGGGCTCCTATGATCTTTCTGGATTGAGGCCCAATCTTCTTCGGGATGGTGATGTTATTCAAAGCAGACCCCTTTGATTGGTAGAAGTTGTGTTGCAGATTTTATCCGCACCGTGCAAGCGACAAAGGTTTTGGCTTCGACCTCACCCATGAATCAAGTTTCTGTTCCTAGGCAAGCGAAAAGGAAGCTGTTGTCATTTGTCGGTCCCCGAGTTTTCACACAAACCACCACTAATTTGTCAGGCAGCCTGTACCCCTTGCAAATGGCATGCAATCTCCCTACTCCATACCTCCAGAACTCATGCCTGAATGTTCCCTTGATAGGTACCATTTTGGGGTAGGTGAATTCACCACCCATTTTGGAACCTATTTTAGTGGGAGTTGGGATGTTTGGGGGTACGATTTGGATTTTGACCCATGGCCATATGTGGTTTCCAACTTTCATTCCCTACTGGCACCTTCACTGGCTGGCACCTTCACTGGCTGCCACTCGGTTGGTTTCTTTCGGCGCCAATGGTCCTGGCCAAAACGAAGACTGGCTGCAGCTGAGCAAGTGGTCGCCGTTGGGTTTACCTTCAGCCGCCCGAAACAAAGTACCCTCAAGGACAACATGAACACAGGTTCTCCCACGTTAGTCCCTATCTTTGAGATTTGGTTGGCATGAGCTGAGTCACTGACAACATGTGTTGGTAGTGTGCTGTTGCCGAAGCAAAGGGGGGGATGGGGTTGAAGTTCCCACAAAAATGGGGGGCGCAAATCCCTTTTTTCTAGGATTTTCTAGGCCTGTTGTGGAAACAAGTGCAGTTCTTTTTCTCACTTCCTGAGTTGCACTTGATACTTCCTGGGAAGACAACTTTGGTAGCAAACTAAGTTTCGGGCCTTGAGTTTTTATCAAAACCTTTGGGCTTCAAAAATCACCCAATGTTTCGGACCTCCACAGTCCTGTCCGAGATGCCCTTCAACACCTCCGCTGCGGCCGTCTACAAGCGCCAGAATTTCCACTGCAAGCGCTTCGCGATCACAAGCAAAGTGCCCATGGAGGCCATCATGCCGCGCCTGGGCTAAAGCCGATGTTCAGATTGGACTTGTGGGTTTCCTTCGCTAGGTCCCCCAGCGATTGGTGCCAGGGTTCGGGACCCTACAATAGACTACAGCGAAAAGTTGGTACCCTTGTTCTGACCTCTCTACTGGAGGACCTATTGCAGTGAGCTGATGAAAACGCAAGAAATGGACTGCTGGCTTTGCTTGCAAGCTAACATAACATGGTAGTTGTTGGGAAACATTTTACATTTTTGCTTATTGTGGTTTAGTGGTTGAAATCCAACCACTCAACTGCTAAAATTCAAATTTTTGCTCCCCTTCCAACGTCAACCAAGATAAGGGGCTGTTCTAAAATTGGCGGGAAAAGGGCGCCGCGCATTCCGAGGGTCGGATTTGGGCAACACCCAGACGTCAAGCCATGGCGGCTTCTTTTGAGAACAGAACTAGGCGCAGCTGGTTTGACACCTCGTTGATGCGTCGAAACAGTTGCCGGGCTGGGGCCGGACCCCTTTAGGTTGGTGGTGTCAATGCGACACCCGTAAAGCAAAAGCACTGATAAAGGTGAAGCAATCAAGAAATGGTTAGTTGAGAGCCAGCAACTGCGTGCAGTCCACATTTGACGTCGACAGAGCCTCACCAAGTGTGTGTTGTTTTTTGTGCGAGGATCGGAGACCACTACAAGGGAAATTACTCCCATCTAAAATAAGCTTCTCGTGGATTTTTGGACAACATTGGACTTGGCGTGCTGGCGGTCCTGTCATTCAAAGACACGAGGCCTGGAAGCAACGCAAGACGTGCTCAGGATGCCACACACTCCCCCCAAGCACTGACAAGTCGCCAGGGCCATCAGGTCCCATGTCGAGAGAATCGCAGTGGGGTCAAGAGCCTACCAAAGCTTCGCGCAGGGCCTAAATTAGGGGATGCTATTTAATCCGGATGTCCTCATGATAGTGCAAGAATGTTTGCAGTCAGCTAGCCTAACATCAAGACGAACACGTCCAACCATCCTTGAGATAGCAGCTGGTTCCATACTTGCTGCCATAGTCACTGGCGTGGAAGTGCAAAGGCTCCCTGCGGACTTTGTTTGCTTCTAAAACCATCGCTGGCGTGCCTGCGAGTCCAGAATTGCCACTGACTCGTGATTCGGACTGTGGCTAATCCTGCAGTTGAGGTGACACAAACCATTAGTTGGAAGATGAGTGGATAGCATCAATAAACAACATCGTGCTGTAAACAAAAACCAGGGTGAAAGGAGCCCAAGTACAACTGATATGAGTCACAAGTTGGAAGGCTTGTGCATGCAATGTAAGCTTCGCTCTGCATGAGTAATACTTGTCCAGCTTGCGTTTTACAGGGATCTGAGGATGGATCTTGCTTGAAGCCAATTTGGCTTTTGGTAGCGGACCACTGGCTTAGCGCTGATTGCGTTGTATTACGCCCTGGGCCACCCTTGGGAGGTGAACCAACGCCACAAAAGCCAAAGTTTCATTGGAAGATTGGAACAGTTCCTCTTCCCCAGATTTAGCTCCTTTTTTGTTTTTTTGGCTTTTTTGGGTTCCCTTTTGTTATCCACTAACGGCGCAAAAAAGATCATTGTTTAGCTGGGGTCAACTAATTCCAGCCGAGTCCTCAGGTGGCCTCAGGGGGAAATGCCAACTGGTACGCACCCATGCTTGACTGCTATTGGGCACGATTGGGCAACGGATCTTTTGACTTTAACTTTTGGTTGAAATAAAGGTGTCTTCCAGCAAAACCCCGAAAAAGTGAAACTTGTTGCAGGGGGATCAACAGCAACCAAGCATGTAGGTCACGATGACAGGCCATGATTGGTTTTGCGTCTTGCGTCGACTTTGCATATCCACAACATGGCGAGCTCGACCACTTTGTCCACGGGGGCGCAAAAGTCAAAGAACGCTTCGGTGAGCCCTTGTTCTGGGAAGAGCTATCTGCATCTTTCAGGATCGGCTTTGTTGGCGGTACGCATACAGCATATGCCCATGTCTGTCTACAATAAGCAGAACAACGATCTAGATTCTGGATGCAGAAGAACCCCCTGGTTGATTGCAGCAACAAGGGATGTCCAATTTGAGAGGGGGCCCCTCGCTTGCGTAAACAGCTCTCCCAAATATCCAGCAAGTCGATCAACCCGGGGTGGACATTTTGATGCAGCAATGCCGACACGCGTGGTCGCGCCTCGTGCACAGTGGCTCCGACCGGAGGTACTTCATCTTTTTCGTGGGTATTCAGGACCGGAACTCGCTTGGTTCGATTGGCAAGGAGAAACGACAGATGACTGAGCAAGCGAAGTTGGATGCAAGCGGCGATGGCTGGCTGTGGGTCAAAACCAATGGTACCATTTTGGGCTAGGTGAATTCACCACCCATTTTGGAACCTGTTTTAGTGGGTATTGAATCGGATGTTCACCCGGGGGCCACTGGGATTTTGGATTTCCCATGGCCAAGTTCTCTTAAATTTGATGGTTTCGGGACCACTTTCAAAATGGGTTTCCTTTGAGGCGTTCGCCCGGATTTGCGAACATCTAGAGGCCAGGAACCCGCAACAAGGTGACTCACACAAGAAGCGCGCGCGCACGCGCGCTGCGCGGGCCGAAGCGGCAGGAGCCCTTCCACCCCAAGCTGTCGGAGTACGAGGGGTTCTACAGCAGCCGAGCTGATCTCGAATCTCGAGTCGAATGCGCTGGCCCGTTTGGGCTTGGCTTGAGACCCATTTGCTGAAAAATCAACATTGTTGTTTTTTCTTTCTTTCTTTTTTCCCCCTGTTGGTTTTTAAAGGTAATCTATCACTACTGGAGATATAGTTGTTTTTTCCAGGGGGCTTAAGCTAATGGAGGCTTTTTCGACCGTCTTTTCCCTGGCTGTCTTTTGGCCCAGAGAAAACTCCAAGCATGGGGCACCCAAGCAACTTCCAAGAGGATTCCCCTTCAGCAGCAAAATGTGTGAACCAATAGGAGGGCCCCAAAAACCACCCACTGTTTGCGATTTTCAAGGCTTCCTGGTTCAATGTGGTTTCGACCATGTTCCCAATTTGCCTTTGAACCCAGCAAAACACATATAGTCAACCTTCAGATGGAAACACTTACTGGGTAGAATTCAGATGGAAACACTTGCCTGGCCAGAATTATAGAGACCTTGCAAGTGTTAGGTTTGCGATTTCACCCATGAAGCAGGTTCCGTTGATGATGGGCATGCCTTATTTTGGGCTGGAGGATTCTCATGATCGACCCCTGTTCATCTACCAAGTGAACATTTCAGCGACAGGGTGTCTTTGGAACCATGGCTCTTTTCAGGAAGCTTGCTGCAAGAAGAAGGACTCCAAGTCCTGTAGCTTGCATTTCCTTTCTCTGACTCATCTGATGACTTTGGTCCAAGTCGGACCAACATGGTGCGTGCTTTTTGCCCTGGGGCTTTGGGCGACTGCCTTCTGCCTGTTTGGGTTGGGTTCCCATTTGGAGACACACCCACAGGTTTGGGGGAGGCTTTCTTTCATGTGACTCAGATGGCCTGAACTAGCCCTCAAAATTTGTTGCCCCATTTGGCCCCCTTCTGACCTCTTTGTATACTAAATATAGAGTCAACACACCAAACAGGGTTCTAATTGGGTTTCTACCAGGCTTCTCTCTTCTTTGGCGGGAGTCTCGGAATCCCTGTCAAAACAGTCAGCCAGAACTGCTTCCCTTCCTCAGACTCTCCTTGCCAAGGGGAGCCTAAAGTCTGGAGTCTTCCTTGCCTCAAGCCCTATGGTTGGAGCCATATGGGACCCGTCGCCGCTCTCATAGACCCAGCCGCCATCGGAATTGCTTCGCGCTCGAGGCAAGGGCCTCTTCTTTGGCCCTTCCTTGGCCCACGACCCGGTCAATGACTTCGCCAGCAGCCCGGCGATTTCGCGGATTCGATTTCGCGCGAGCAAGGGGTGAGCTGGAGACCCGTTGCCCACTTTTTAACCAACGGCTCCGCGAGACGAAACACCTATGCCAATGATCTAGCCTAGGTCCCCCAGTAAGCAGTGCCCTTTTACCCTTTTTGCGGGGCTTTTGTGGGGAGGGTCCCCTAATTACTAAAGTGGACGACAGAAAAAGGGTACCCTTATTCTAACCTCTCTACTGGAGGACATAGTAGCTGTACCCTCCCCATTCTCTTCAGGGATCCTTCTCTCCAAATGGGAAACCCTGGAAAATACGGCTGGAAAACAGAAGGAAGGATGGGTGAAGATAATGGGGAATAAAACCTTAGGAAGGAGAGACTACCAGCAATTGTTTGCCAGCCGTTCAATATGGCGGCGGCTCACAGACCAAATCTCACAGACCGTCAGACCCCCGATCCAGACCGAAACGCAGTTGATCCAGGCCGATCCAGACGTCCAGATCACCGTGGAACGATCCACACCCGTTGTTTGAGACATAGCTATATCATATATTGGAGGTAAACCTGGGGCAAAGAAAATATAAATGCCTGAGTAACTTGAATGAGGTGGTGGCGGTATTTTGAAATGATATCTAATCAATTATAGGAGTGAACTAGTTGTTGGTGCTTATTTGATTTAGCTCCTTAAATATTAAGATAGCCCATCATTTGCAATTTGTCCGAAGGGAAGCCAAAATATGTGTTTTGATTTGACTAGACTTCCAATTTATGGCTCAGTTTGTGTCAATCCGACCATTTGACGTTGTGTCTTACCAATGTTTGTTAGTTTCTTGCCCCAAAGGTTCACTTCTTTTCCCGTCCTTTGGGCTCAGACAGAGTTTACCTGAGCCCGAAGATGCTTTGGCAGGTTCCATCACAGAATTTGGCAAGAGGGAGTTCCAGAGTGGTGAAAGTATAAGCCGTGTTTCAACCAACTGAAACTATAATCAGAACATTAACTGGAGGGACCCCTGAAATGTTGGAAGTTACACTTGATTTGTCAAAGTCCATTGGATCCCTTTCAGGCTGACATGTAGTCTTTCTCATGCCATGGTACCTAATGGAGGGTCACCTATATAAGGAAATTGATGCTCCAGGTAAGCTCCAGGTTTTTTCTTCTGTTAGGGCCAAGGGTAGCTTTGTAGGAGGAAGGACAAGTAGTATCGATGCCATTGGACTCACCTCCAGCTTTGCGTGGTGTGCATCTGCAGCCGCCACTGGAGCCGCTCTCGAACAAGTTTGGTGTCCAAAGCTCGAAGCACGCATTGAGACACACTCACATGAGTCACAATCCCGGTGGAGTCGATTTTCCGGATTACTCAATCGCGAGCCTCGTATCTAACCTTGAAACTGGGACGGCTTACTTGCTCATTCCTACACTTTTTGCGGTTTTGGTTCTTCCCGCTTGGGGGATCTCTCCATGAGTTGCCGCAAACCTGCACAGGTTGAACCAACAGGCCTGGCGATCCGTGGAAACCTAGAAGGGTTACTCCTCATTGACGAGGGCCGTTTCCCTAGTCACGTGTGTTTAAACACCCATGGTCAAAAAAACCTATCCTTGTGGCTTACCTAAGGGGACCCCAAGCCCAGTTTTTCCAACACCGAGTCCCAGGTAAGGAGGAGAACCTGGTGAAGACGTGGGTCCCCAGCACGCAGCTCGGCAAGCAATGTGGGTTGGGGAGGCCTGATATCAAAAGTCCGGCACCCAGCCAGCTGAATTCCAAGGTGGGGGCACCTCATCGAAGGTTTCTTGCACTGGGATTCCGAGTCATTTTCCCAAACTGCAAGTTTAGGCAGCCAAGGGTATAGATTGATTTGGATTAACGCTGGCGATCAAATGCAAATTAAACAAGCATGACATAGAATAGAAGTGCGTTGATTTCCGACTTGATGTGTTTTGTAATTTGCGCAGATTGTTTCAAGACTCAGGTGCCGAAATGATTGCGTTTCGATTACGGTGGGACCTACCATAGGTGTCTTTTTTGGTCTTCAAACTTCTACTCATTCACCAATCCAATTTCCAAAGGCCGGCCTCATCCCACGACCCCTACACTTGGAATGGACAATCATGTCCTTGAGTTTCCAGGCAGGCTTCTATGCAGAGAAGTCGTGCAGTGCTGTGTCGGTGGTATGCGCTGTTCTATGGTAGTTGCCGACACCATGCTGTCTTCGTGCGTGTCTCAGTTTGTGTGGGTGCCTGCGTGCCTGCGTGCGTGCGTGTGTGCGTTCGTGCGTGCTTGTGTGTGTGTGTGTGTTCGTTTTTTGCCATGTTTTGTCGCATTGATCCCAAGATATGTAACTGTAAGAGGTTCGGGTGCTTGTAGAGGTTCTGTTTAGATTAGAGTGCAGGCGGCTTTGGGTGATTTGCAGGTGGTTGGACCGCTGCTGCTGGGCTTGTCGCGCTTTGCCTTTGATTCCACCCGCGTAGCACACCAACACACACTCACACAACACGTTGCAGCAACTAAAGATTCACGAGCGAAGATTTAGTAGCAAAAGGAACGGATCAAGAGTTTTTATTCGGCAACCAAAGCCCAATTTGCCCAGTGCATGATTCGGCAACTCGTGCTTGGGTGGGGTATATACTGGAGGGTGGGGATGTTGAGCATCGCTGGGCCCACTGTTGAATCTATTTCACTTTTTCTGACAGTGGACCAGACCACAAATGATTTTCTCTTCTTTTTGGTTGGGGACCGCCCAAATGGGTATGGCTCAAAATTAAACGATCGGAGGGGCAAACCGCAGGTTTTGGTTCCCATGCTTCCACTTGCCGATCGGGCAACCCATTTTGGTAATTACCGGTTTTTTGAGCCACAGCCAAATCTCGGTTTCCACCCACCTCTCCGGCCCCGCATGTTGACGTGAGGCGTTTGCCTGGGCAGCGGAACGTGGTGCTCAACGCCGTGCCCTCCCGCGCCATGTGGATCGACTCCATGGGCGGCCGGCAAGGCGCGCATAAGGGGAATGAACACCCCCTCTCAGTTCTTCAGCGGCTCCAATATTTTTCCGACTTTTTTTGGGTGGCCCCCACTAAAATGGTCCAAGCCCAAAAAAGGGTTCCCTTGTTTTTCCAGGGTCACTGAACAACTGAGCCCCCTAGGAATCAACCCCTGAAAATTATTTTTATTGGGGGTGTCCGATTCTGGTTTTAGTGGGGATTGCTCACTTGAGAAAAACTGAAGAGCCCTCTGTGAAAAAAAGGGGGTCAACATTAGACAGGCAGCCGCTCGCGGGTTGTTTGAAATTGCCTTGTACGTTGCCAGTCGAGCTGGCAAACTCCCTTTTTTTTGCGGGGGTTAGCGGGCCTCGTCATGGTCCATCTCGAAAAGTTTGACCTGCGCGCCAGGAAACTGGCAAAGGTCGGCTCATCTTTGCTCTTGGGGAAACAAAAACGAGGTATTCCGAGCGTAGAAGCCTTGATTTCGCCACGGAGCAGCAAGTGCACCGAACACCAATGCAAAAGCCGCTTGGAGAGCGAGAAGCCGGTTAGCGACACACTCTGATCTGCACAATGCGACATTCAAGGACAAGAGGACAGGTCAGCAGAATTTGGTGGGGGCTTAAAATACAGGTATGGATCAAGGTATTAGCATGATCCGTACCTGGTGTTTGAACCTTGTCTTGGATGTTGTTGTTTCAGCATGATCATGAAATTGTGATGATGTTGCATTAGTCATTTGCTGTCTCAAAACAATTCCGTTGACTTTCAAAATGAGCCTTCGTCGAGACCATACTTGTTATGGATTCGGCCAGAACCCCAAACCTGAACCATGAACCTAAACGCACACCCCACATGCAAACCCTAAACCGAAGGTATAAGGCTAAACAACAATCTTGCCGGCTCCCAACGCGTGGGTGGTACGACTGCGCCATGCTCTGAACAGAACGCGTTCACGAAGTAGGCCCCAGGTCTGCTACTTGAGTAAGGCAGGCCATGCTTCGGCCAGCTGGGCCAACATGGGGGGGGCGCCGGCAACCCACTACTGCTACTGCTACTGCAACTGCCTCTGCTACTGCTACTACTGCTGCTACTGCTACTGCTACTCCTACTACTACGGCGCATCCTTAGTGAAAGAGGAATGCGGGGATAATACTCCTGCTACTACTACCGCATCCTTGGTGAAAGAGGAATGTGGGGATCCGAAGCTGATCTTGAAGGGTGTGTAGGTCAGCTCGCGAGTTGACGTCCAATTTGCCAGGTGCTCCTTGTGACGACACCTTCTTCTTCGCAGAGATTCGGCAGAAAGCGAAACAGGGCTGCTCCATCATCGTCCACTGTTGAAGTTCGTGGGTTTCCATTTAGAGCATCACCTTTTGCAATGGGAAACCAGTTGGAGTGTTCCTCGGCTTTAAGTCGGTTTCACCCAACGTGCATGCTGAATTGGTGCTTATGCTTGGAATCGCAGTGACGAATACGCGGGAGTTACTGGCATGAGGGGAACGAATTGTTCAAACCACGGCTTCATGGTTGCGCAAAACAGGTTTTAGAGCCACTTTCTACCAAGGAAATTCCCTTCAAAGTGATAAGGTAGTCATGGGAATGACCCGTATTGATATCACGGGCGGGGTATTGTCAGTGGCAGCACGGTTGTTGCAATTGTCACTGCTGCTCTTCCATTTACTCCACTCTACAAAGATAAACACGCAACTCAAAAATTTTGCCGGAATTTGTAGAGGAATCTCCCTTCGGAGTACAACTTTGGGGTACCCTATCGGGGAGTTCCATGTTAATTTAATCGTTAAGTCGGAGGGACATGGTCCATTGCCGGAATCGCAGATTTTGACCTTCCCGCATACTTCGATGTTGACATTGAACAAGGTCCCCAGACCGGCAACACCATGGGTTTCAACTAGACCTTTGGTCAGGATGGTCGCCTTCTGTACTGACCAAGCACGATCTTCGAACAGCACAATATCATAATGCAAGCACCCCAAACAATAACACAAAAAGAACCAAACAGACCACAAAATACACAAACATCAAGCAACAAAACCAAGGCTGGCGGCTCTGTCGCCGCCGTGAGGCGAAACCTTTTTTTTTTCCCGCTTGGGGCCCTTCCTGAACTGTGGCAGGCGTGTAGGTCGTATCATGGCAGACAAACAAAGATGTGTTACGACGTGCCACGCAGGCCATTCAAAGCAAGCCGCAACCTCGTTTCGCCTCAACGATTTCTAGCTGCCAATTTTGGAAAAGTACATGTTTCATGATTATACATCTCATCCAACTTGGTCCAGACAAGAAGCTTCAGGTGTGGAAAAGTATAATATGTTTCATGGTTCTACAACTCATCCAACTGTATCTAGACAAGAAACTTCAGGTGTGGAAAAGTATATGTTCCATGGTTCTACAACTCATCCAACTGTATCAAGACCAGAAACTTCAGGTGTGGAAAAGTATATGTGATGGCTCTACAACTCATCCGACTGTGTCTAGACAAGAAACACTGCTTTTGAATCAGTCCCCTGCGCGTCTCTAACTACTGCCTATTTTCGACATCCGCTCCATTCGATTTGCATCATCGGATCCAAGAAAAAGCGAGAAGCTCGGCCCATCTGGCATGTCTGCAGTGCTGAGCGGGTTCGCGTGAACGGGTGTGCTTACCGTGCTTACCAGTTGTCTGGCATGTGTGCCGTACTGAGCGGGCACGCGTGAACGGGTTTGTGGAGGTATTTCGGCGGCGAGGGAGCAGGTAGCCAACAAGGACCTTATGCCATTGCACCTTCACCGCGCTGCGCCGGCATCAACAATCAACAACAATGTGTGTCTTCATACCGATAGGTTCAAATAAGTACACTGCGCGTGTGTATACAAGTGCATAGTACATTTGTATGTATAATGTTTATACATGTTTGCACATGCGCATGTCGCACTCGGTTTTTGCAACATGGCCGCCCTAAGCCTTCCCATCCTCGTGTGCGAGGATGTGAGCATGGTGGCAGATGCCATCACTCAGCCTGAGGATGCGCCACTTGACTTGCTTGCCACGGGGCCGTAGCCATGGAAACGCCCTGCTTCTCCATAAAGGGTGGGTCATCAACCGCTTGGCTGTATTGGCAACATCTGGGCCTCAATGAATCACGGAAAATAGGTTCTATTACAAGAAAGCTCTGAAACCTAGCGTCGTGGACATTTTTGGAACAGCAGGTCCCAAAAAGAGAGTCTGGTCGTTTCGCTTCGAGGAAATGCCAATGTCGGGGTTTTGCATTTGCTCAAGCGCATGTTTGTGTCTTTTTGTTATCCTGACCTATCGCACGGCACACTCTGATCCCTGCTTCTTGGCCTCATTTCTCCTTTTTCGACGCTGACTTTCAGTGGTACAGAGAGATGTCAACAACACCAATTCCATGAAGTCCCAGGGTTGGCCCTCGCGGAACCCGCTGCCCTTGTGTTGGATGGTTCTGAAATCCGAAGAGGTGCTTCTCTGTTCTCAGATCAGGCCTATCAAGGGAATCGGTAGCGCAAATTGGATTGTGGACAACATTTGATGTTGCTCAGATTCGATGGATTCAGAACTTACAGGTGTTTCCTTGTTTTCGACTTGGCACGTGTTTGGGCAGCTCCAAAAAAGGTTAAGGCAAAACATCAACCTGCTAGACGTGTAGCTGATTGCACCGCTTGTTGGAGGTCGGAATCCTCTTTCGGACGAAACATGTTCCAACATGTTTCACTCGGACAGCTCGGGCCAAAACTAGAGAGGTTTGAAAGGCCCCGTTTTTTCCTTCAGGCGAAGGTACACGAATGTCAGCATCAATTCGCGCCCCACCCTGCGGCTGGTGGTTCCAGTCGCACACCAAGAAGTTATCACCTGGAGCTTCAAGAACGACATCCTGACGCCTGGCTCAAGCCATCCTTGCTGCACGTGTCCTTCTTAATTAGGCTGCCTCAGGGAATTCAAGAGGAAACGAGCCCCCAGTGTTTGGGTTCTCCGTTTGGAAACATTTTCATGGTGGTTGATTCCCACTCCATTCAAGCATTTGGTAGGCGGTGTTGTTTTCTGTTATTCGCTTGGGGTGGCTTGCCCTTCAGTTCGAAGCCTGATTGCATTATTTTCTCGGGGCCAGTTTTCCTCTGTTTGTGGCGCTGGTTTCTTTCAAACGAAAGCTGGTCACCAGTGAACAGGTGCTTTGTTTCCAGGCCATTTGTTGTTTTGCTGTGTTTTTTTGGTGTTGCCTCAACAAACACGAGCCGATCACCGCTGGGAGATCCAAGTCCGATCCCGATTTGCTTCCTGCTTTGCTCGGGTTGGGCCTCCTGAAGCGAACGACAACCGCCAGCAAGCAAGGGTGTCCTTCTGTTTGACTCAGACTGGCTTCCGTTTGAACAATGCTAGCAAGGAAACAAATGCTTGTTATTGCCCTTGGCCATTGCTGCCACCCGATGTTCACTCATTTGTTTGGGAGATTTAGGTTTTCCTCGAGGACAAAAAACAATGAGTGTGCTTTGCTTCCCGACAGCCTCTCTGCTGCCTGTCTGGTTTAGCCTTTGAGGGAGTTGCGAGACACTGCCAGAGGTGAGAGGGGACCGAGGTGCAGTGGGATTTTGGAGGACTTGAACTCATAGGATCCAACGCCTAACCCTGTTCCCCCAAAACAAGACCATGATACGGCCTCCTTGATGCCCTTTGGCTTGCCAGCCCAGACCGGATAGACAGGAAAGGCAACCTAAGCTGTGGTTGCACTTCTAACCAAAGACAGGGTAACCCACTCCGACCAATCCTCGCTTGAGCTGATTATATAGACTACTTCTTCTAAACTCGAAGAAAGACATTTGCCCTGTCGAATCTCAGCAGAAGGCGGCATTTGTTCGAGCCTTTTCCAGCAGGCTAGATTGCGGTCAGGGGCCCTCCCAAAACCAGGGATATAGAACCATTCTTTGGGAAATCAAAGTACCCTTCTTAAAACCAAAAGGAGGCCGCAAGTTTTACAAGTCAGTTCTCAAGATCTCTCCATTCCTTGACCCCAAGGAGTTTTGCGTGCCTTCGTGCGCCAATCGCCTCGCGCCAAGGGCCGACACGCTGGCTTGGCTCGGGAAGCTCGCGTCTGCCACGGCGGCTCGGGAAGCAAGAAGTGGCGGGCTTCACGCCATTGCCATTGATCACCATTTGGGTACCTTCTTGTTTGTGGGTTGAAAGGGAAGCCAAGCGGAAAACTACTACTTTGGAGGTTCCCTGAAAAAATACACACCTATTTTG